GAAACATAGGTATAATACCATGGAACATGCATGAGAAAGTGTGAGAAGAATGGGGGAAATTGGCATCCTTGGCGCTCTGCAAGGCGCGGGCGCCAGCCCTCGAAGCTCAGAAGGACTGCTGGGGCGCACTGCTAGGCGCGGCGCCCCATAGGGGAAACTTCAGAGCCCCTGCTGGGGCGCGCTGGCTGGCGCGACGCCCCATCCCCTTTTCCCCGAAATTCCGACTTTCCTCTCTTGTTTCTCCAACTCTAAACCTTCCAAACTTCAAAGGTTCCAACACCAAACACTGAGAACCATAAACCCCTCAACATACAATAGATTACAACTCAAAAACACAATCGGAAAACATGTCTCAAATCAACAAGGGACTTTAACAACACAATCAACAACATCAACAACACAACCCAACAACTTCAACAACATAACCAATCTTTGCTCAAAAATAAAATGAGCTTGGCGTATGGGGGAAAGGATCAACCCAACACTATGAACTCACATACCTAGTAGGGATCACCCCCGACGATATCCACGACGGAAACTTGCTTGATCTCCTCTTTCTCCTCTTCTTCTCCTCTTCTTCTCTTCTTGTTCTCTTCTTCACTCAAACCCCTCACTCTCACTCTTTTAAAATGGGACAAACTGATCTAAAAATCAGTCCAACACTCTAATATAACCAAAAGAATTGATTAGGGAAAAGACCAAAATGCCCTTAAAATTTCCGGACGGATTTCCCTGCAAGTGGCCCAACTTCCAAAGGGTATAACTCACTCATACGAACTCGGAATCGAGTAAAATTGGTTGCGTTGGAAAGATCGTTCCACGAGCTTCGCAAACATAACTGGAACTATACCTAACTCATCCTACTCTAGGAGTTATGGCTGATCAAAGTTGGCCAAAAACTCACTTTTTTTCCATACTTGGCCAAATTCCAGATTTTTGAATTCCTTCCAAAAAATGATTAATTCCAATTCTAAGCCTCTTTATAGTTATTTCAAATTGTCGGATGTTACAATATCTCCCTCTTGGGAACATTCGTCCTCGAATGAGGTTACTCTTACAAGGCTAAGGGTGTAACATCAACTTAAACTCTCAACAAGCAACTATGCAAACACAACAACAACAACAACAGCAACATGCTCATTATAATTAAAAGAGCACTAAGAAGGAAATTAATACCTTAATCTGCATTTCCCCCGGATTCAAAGAGATGTGGATATCTCTTCTTCATGTCCTCTTCGGCTTCCCAAGTAGCTTCCTCAACAAATTGGTTCCTCCAAAGAACCTTGACTGATGCTACATCTTTCGTTCTCAGCCTACGAACTTGACGATCTAAAATCTGAACATGAATCTCCTCATAAGATAAGTTATCCTTGATCCCAACACTATCAGTCGGCAGGATCAATGAAGGATCTCCTATGCACTTCTTCAACATAGAGATGTGAAATACCGGATGAACCGCTGCTAGTTCCTGTAGTAACTCCAACTCATAAGCAACATTGCCAATTCTCTTGGCTATGCGGTAAGGTCCAATATACCGGGGACTAAGTTTCCCCTTCTTACCAAACCTCATAACACCCTTCATGGGTGAAACTTTCAAATATACCCAATCGGCTACTTCAAACTCTAACGCCCTTCTCCTAACATCAGTATAGGATTTTTGACGACTCTGTGCCGTTTTCAACCTCTCTTGAATCACTTTCACTTTCTCCATAGCTTGGTGAACTAAATCTGGTCCTATCAACTGTGCTTCACTAACTTCAAACCATCCGATAGGAGATCTACATCTTATCCCATAAAGAGCTTCATATGGAGCCATCTGGATGCTAGAGTGATAACTGTTATTGTAGGCAAACTCAATGAGAGGTAGGTGATCATCCCAATTACCCTTGAAATCAATCACACAAGCCCTCAACATATCTTCTAAAGTCTGAATAGTACGCTCTGCTTGCCCATTAGTCTGAGGATGAAAGGCAGTACTTAAATTTACTTTCGAACCCAAGCCTTTCTGAAAAGATTTCCAGAACTGTGCAGTAAACTGTGCACCTCTATTTGAAATAATGGAGATTGGGACTCCATGAAGTCTCACTATCTCTTGAATATACAATTTGGCATAATCTTCTGCTGAAAAGGTAGTTTTCACCCGTAGAAAATGAGCTGACTTTGTCATTCGATCGACAATCACCCAAATAGAATCATGTTGTCTGCGAGACATTGGCAACCCTGTGATGAAATCCATATTGATCATCTCCCACTTCCATTCTGGAAGTTCTATCCTCTGAGCCAAACCGCCAGGCCTTTGGTGTTCAACTTTCACTTGCTGGCAATTTGGACATTTAGTAACAAATTCAGCAATGCCCTTCTTCATGCCATTCCACCAATAAACTTCTCTAAGTCACGATACATCTTGGTGGAACCCAGATGAATGGAATATCTCGAGCTGTGAGCTTCCTCCATAATCCTCTCTTGGAGTCCATCCACCATAGGTACACACAATCTTCCTTGATATCTCAACACACCATCTCCCCCTTGTTCAAAAGCTAATACTTTCTGCTTTTGAACATTTGCCTTCAACTCAAGCAAAATGGGATCTTGGTCTTGTTTCTCTTTCACTTCTGACATGAATGATGACTCGGCCCCGTTCGTCACTGCTATACCTTCTTCTGTGGAATCCATAAGTCTGACTCCCAGGCGTGCCAGTCTGTGCACATCTTTTGCTAACTCTCTCTTCCCTTCTTCAATATGGGGGGTGCTACCCATAGACAACCTGCTTAAAGAATCAGCAACAACATTAGCCTTACCTGGGTGGTAAAGAATACTCAGGTCATAATCCTTGAGTAACTCTAACCACTTTCTCTGCCTGGGATTAAGCTCTTTCTGAGTAAGCACATATTGAAGGCTCTTGTGATCAGTGAATATGTCAACATGCACACCATATAAGTAATGACGCCATATCTTCAAAGCGAACACTACAGCAGCCAACTCTAAGTCATGGGTTGGGTAGTTCTTCTCATGTATTTTCAACTGTCTGGAGGCATAACCTTGCCATTCTGCATTAAGACACAACCCAAACCAACTCTAGATGCATCACAATACACCACAAAACCTTGAGTACCTTCTGGTAAGGTCAAAACTAGAGCAGTAATCAACCTCTTTTTCAATTCCTGAAAGCTTCTCTCACAAGCTTCAGACCATTGAAATTTCACTGTCTTCTGAGTCAACTTTGTCAAATGAGATGCAATAGATGAGAACCCCTCTAAAAACCTTCTATAATAGCTAGCTAACCCCAAGAAACTCCTAATTTCAGTTGGAGATGTGGGTCTAGGCCAATTCTGCACTGCCTCAATTTTCCGAGTATCAACTTTAATTCCATCACCGGACACAATGTGGCCTAGGAATGCCACAGACTTAAGCCAAAACTCACACTTAGAGAACTTGGCATGCAACTCCTTATCTTTCAAAGTCTGGAGAACTATTCTGAGATGACTAGCATGATCTTCTTCATTCCTTGAATAGATTAGTATGTCATCAATGAAGACGATAACAAACATATCTAAAATATGGTTTGAAGACTCTATTCATCAAGTCCATGAAAGTTGTCGGTGCATTGGTCAACCCAAAGGACATGACCAAAAACTCGAAATGACCATATCTAGTCCTGAATGCTGTCTTTGGAATATCACATTCCCTTACTCTTAACCGGTGATAGCCTGATCTGAGATCAATCTTTGAAAAAAAGGTGGCACCCTGAAGCTGACAACTCGGCTGGTGCCATCCTATAAGGCGGAATAG